AGAGGCCGAAATCGTCAATGTTACAAAAGGTTTTCGAACGGTTTTGGCCTTCCAGCCTTTTCGGCTGCGGCCCAATAGGCCCCCAAGAGCGCCCCAAGATGGCCCAATAGCGCCCCAAGACGACCCCAGAGGCGCCCAAGACAGCCCAAGAGAGCCCCAAGACGGCCCCAAGATGCGCCCAAGAGGGGGACCACGACTCCAAAATTCGACCCTCCCGCTTGAAGCGTGCCCTAGGAGGCCCCAAGGAGCCCCCGAGAGGCCCCAGGAGGCTCCCAAGAGGAACCCAAGAGGCCCAAACGAGGCTTCAAAAGGCAACAAAACAGCCCCGAGGAGGCCCCACAACGGTCCCAAAACGGTTACCGAGAAGCTGCGAAATTGGTTTTTGCGACGTACGTCCCCGACAGGCCAACCACGATATCCAAACCAACACCCATGAGGCTCTGACCCACCACCCAGGGCACGGTGGCGGGACCCGGGACAGCACTTGCGCACAGCACGTTCCGGCGGGAACCTTCTGGAACACACTGCAGGATGAGGAAGATCACGAGGAGAGAGAGAGCTGGAGTGGGAGGAGGAGGAGGGGGACGAGGAGGAGGATGAGGATGAGGAGGAGCAGGAGGAGGCGGACGAGGACGACGACGATGAGGACGACGACGATGCAGGATGATGATGCTGCCGACGACGACAAATGTGACGACGTCAAGGATTACCGCGACTGTTTTCGTGTTGATGATGGTGGTGCTCTCGCGTGTCATGGTGATGGTGATTGCGATGATGCGGGAGCAGGATTACGGGCCTATCTTGGGCCCCTCCTGAGACCATCTTGTAGCCCTCTTGGGCCTTTCTCGGGCCCCTCTTGAGCCCCTCTTGGGGCTGTGACGAAGCCTTGGAAGGCTCCCAGAAACCTCCAGAAGCGCCAAGAATGCACCACCTGTTCAACGCGAGCCCCTGGGGGCCCAGGGGCCACGACCTCTACCACAAATGTGTTGCCCGGGGGCCCGGTTGGACCTTGGGGGGCCCCAAATCGCCTAGGAGGGCGGTCCAATGAGCGCCACGGCGGCCTCAGCCAGCCGACCACCACCCTGAAGACGGCTTCGACGGATCACGGGACGTCTCCAACGGCTCCAGAGGCTTCGCAGATGCTTCTAAACCCGTGCAATTTGCCTTCCACGAGGGCCCAGAGAAGCAAAAATAGCCCCAGTCAGGTAGTAAAACGTACATCCCCTAATATCGCCCCTGCACGGCCCAAGAGGCCCCCCAGAGGGCGCCAAGACGGCCCAAGAACACGCTCCAGCACGGACTCAAGAGGCTCCCCAAGAGGGCTGGCTGAATTCATTAATTTTCCGATTGTTTTTGAAGAATTTTGGCGTTCCCGCTTTTCCCGCTTCCCAGCGCTCCTTCACGGCCTCGGAGGCCCTTCAGATCGTGACGGCCCACGAGGCCCCAGAAGTGGGCCTCAAGACAAGACGGCCCAGGAGGGTCCCCAGACAACCCAAGTGTGCCCCAAGAGCGCCCCAAGACGGCCCAAAGGGGTACCGAGTAGGCCCAGGCCCGCCCCGAAGCAGGCCACGACAGGCTCAGGGGATCCCGAGAGGGCCCAAGACGCTCCCAAGAGGCGCCGAAGGCGCCCAAGATGCCCGCAAGATGGCCGACGGGGAATCCAACACGCTCCAGCACGGACTCAAGAGGCTCCTCAAGAGGGCCCTGGGAGGCTGAATTCATGTATTTTCTGATTGTTTTTTTAGGATTTGGGCGTTCTCGCTTTTCCCGCTTCCCAGCGCTCCTTCACGGCCTCGGAGGCCCTTCAGATCGTGACGGCCCAGGAGGCCCTCCAGACAACCCAAGTGTGCCCCAAGAGCTCCCCAAGAGTGGGCCCAGAGGGGGACCGCCAACCGATCTCCGGTCCTAGAGGTCCCCAGTAGGTCCCTAGATCTCACCAAGAGTCTCCCACGATACCCCGTGAGGCGCCCAAGAGGCCCCCAGGAAGCCCCACGAGACCTCCAGAGGGCTCCCAGGGAAAGCCCAAGAAGCCCCCCATCACACCCTAAGAAATCATGTCCCCAGAAAGCCTTCCTGGGACATGTTTCATCACGGGCGCGAGAGTTCCTGGAGGCCCCCAAGGGCCCCCCAGGGAGCGCCCAAGAGGCCCCCCAACACACTCCAACAAATTATGTCCCCAGAAAGCCTTCCGGGGACATGGTTCACCATGGACCCGAGAGTCTCTGGAAGCTCCGAAGTACCATCACGCTACCGGAGAGCTGTCTGGGAAGTTGACTGGGGACAGGACTGATCGCCTTCTCGCGGACCCCCGCAGGTCGTTTCGCGCAAAGTTGCCCCAAGTGCCCTCTTGAACCGACGACGGCGACGACGATGACGAAGACGACGAAACGACGAAGACGAGGACGACGACGACGACGACGACGTCGACGGCGCGCCCCAAGAAGCGACGACGACGACGGCACGCCCCAACAGGCTCCCCAAGACGCCTCCAAACCCATGTTCCAAGAACGCCTTCTGGGAACCCGATTCATCGGGCCTCCGCCCCTTAATTACGCAATCATTGTTTTCTGAAAGACTTCAGGAATGCGGATTGACATGCGTGAATTGTGGTCCACTACTCCAGAAGAGCAGTGAACTCGTCAAGGCCTGGGGCCTGCTAGAACCTGAGCGCGCGCGAAGCGCGCGCGATGGTTCTAGTATATATATATATAACATGTTCCGAACATGCTCCCAAACGGGCTTCGCGCGCGCATGTCGAAATCGTTCGAACGCCCTTGCGCGCGTCTGGGGGGGCGGCACCATCCGTGTTGAATAATACTATGCGGGTCACTCTCGCGCGTCTGCCGCGCGCGCATTTCGAACTCGTTCCAAAATCTTCATCACCGACGCGACGACGCCGTCATCATCGCCGGCGTGATCAGCATCGGCGCCGTCACTGGCTGCCCCGTCGTCGCTGTCAGCATCGTCGCCAGCACCGCTACTATCATCTTCGTGTCTACCGTTGCCGACGTGGCCATGATACCGCGCTCGCCCAAGTCGCCGACTCGCACTGCAGTGCCCGCTGGGATGTGCCGACCGGTCAGCGCCACCGCGTTCGCGTCGGTCGCGCCAAAGTAGCTGGCCGTTGCGCGCGAGCATGCGCGGGCGAGCGCGCCCGCAGGGATGTACCAGCCAACACTAAGCACTCCTCGCAATCGCCGCCGCATGGGTTTTGCAAACCAAGTTGCGGGTGGGTGTAGGATGTTTGCGCGAGCAGTGGAGTGGATAACTCACTGCGAACAGAAATTAGTTGCTCAACGTAGATTGCGCCGTGCATATTGCGCCACACATATTGCACCACCTATACTGCAGCATGTAGGTTGCATCCCATAGAGCACAACATGCATATGTTGGGCAATTTACATTGCACAACACCGGTTGCGCCACATGTATGGCGCACTAGACATTGCACCACACAAGCTGCACCACCTAGAGTGCACAACGTATATTGCTACACGCACACTGTTTGGGGTCCAAGGTGTTCGGTTTGTTATTCATTGTTTGCCGATCGGCGCGGGCCCTCGCACCCCCACTCCCCCCCCTGCAGCGGATCTTGGCTGTTTTGGGCGCAGGTTTCAAGCATGTGGATGGCTCCCCATAGTATCCCCCATGGGAGCATTGTTCCAAACAGTAGCATTAAGCAGAGGTCCAGAGCCAGACCCCCCCTTTCCGCCCAATGTCGGTACGCCGAAAAAGCAAACGTCAACACACCAATAGCCTTGAACTTAGTTGCATCGCGGAGTGGCTGTAGATAGATCGTTGACCTGCAAGTTGAGTCATGCCTTCGATTCTTAGTGTGCTTTTCGGATGTTTGTACGATTATATGGTAAAGTTGTTCATGGTCAGTTATACGGTTCGGTTCCTTGTTGTCTAGATATTAATACGCGTGCCTTCGCGTCTATATCTCCGTGTACCTCTAGTTTTTCATGTGTCTAGTAGTCACGGCTTGGCGGATCGAGCGATAAGCCGCTTGTTAGCCAAGTCGATTAACACGCTCAGCATCTACATTGTCAGCCGCGCCTGAGGCCATCGCAGTCCGAACGTTGTATCCATCCCCGCCCAGCCTTATAATCCGAAGGGTGGCCAGATCTGATACTTGGGTATACGTTAAGCCTAGCCCGCAAGAGGCGGGCAGCCTCACCCCGGTAGAGCCAGCCAGTCTCGCAATGAATGGTTTCAGCGGCAGTGGGCGGCAAGCACTGAACAAAGCACGCCATGGTAAGGTAAACATGTAGTGCCGAGCGAAATTCAAGGGAGGCACCCCAGACATCGCAACCTCCGACGTCCGCCCATATCGTTTTGACATGTTGTTCAAGTACCTGAGCGCAAGTGGTCACGAGAACGCCAAGGCAAGGATACCATTCCATGTCCTTTTTGTTCCAGGGATGTTTGCATCGGGAGCGCGGGGCCATTGCTCTGTGATCGCGGACGGCCTCGGGCGAGCAGGTCTTTTGATTGCTTAAGTCATTTCCTGAGGCATTTCAGAGCTGAGGGAAGCTGCCTCGACGCCGCTTTGGGGCCTAGAAGGGTCGCGCGCATCCCGGAGACTTGGAATCTCACTTCCTGGGAGACTGGGCAGTTGTTTGATCTTCGAGCTGGTGACTGGCAAATCACGGTTGCCAAGTTGGTGGTCACTTGAGGAGGTCATTGCGGCGAGTTGTCTTGTTGGGTCGATGATATCTAAATTGGCCAGTTGGTTTGCAGCCTGATGTCCCGCAAGGGCGCAAGGGGGGGCGGCAACCGTACTACACAGAGACAAGGAGAGAGAGAGAGAGAGAGGGAGAGCGCGAGAGAGACACGGGGAGAAGTCATTGTGCTCGTTCTTGGGGGTCCGCCTCCCACCCTCACCCTCACCCTCACCTCCACTTCCCCTCGCCTCACCTGTCCCCCCTCCTCTCTCATCTGCTCCTTTCACGCTTCGTCCTGCTCTTCTCGCTCCATCCTCCGCTCTTGTCTGTGAGGGCGCCTGGGCGACACGCGTGTGGCGGTGGCCTCCGATCACACATGTGCAGACAGGAGCGGGGCACGGGGGGCACCGACGGGCTGCGCGGGAGGGGGGCGGCAGACAGGAGGCGGCAGAGGACGATGGGTGCGTGTTCCAGGTGGTAGTGATAGCGGTAGCGGTAGTGGTGGTGGCGGTGGCGGTGACGGTGGTGATGTTTTCGTGTTTCAATTCGTTCCCGTTGTACCTCACCGTTTGCAACGGTCAGCGTCTGATTGTCTTGGGTCATTTGGCGCCCGCGAAATTATGATTGTGTGAAGCACCGGCAAGTGCGAGCAGGGAGGCAGCATACTTGGTGGTGCGGTCCTGGCTCTCCCTGTGTCTGTGGGGGGGATTGGAGTTCGAGCTCTCTGGCCGCAACAGCTTGGGCGATTTTACGCACCGCCAGCCGGGCTTGGAGGGGTAGGGGGAGTAGCGATGGCGATGCAATTCAGAGTACAGCACAGCAGTGCGTAACATGGCATTGCCTACCCGATCATGGTATAGCAGTGTAGCGTATCACTAAATAGCATATTATACCGTAGCATTACATACCGCATCATATCATGACATGGCATGGCGTTGCGTGGAGTATCACGGCAGCGTACAATATCACAGCCCGGGATAGCAATGCATGGCAGTGACAAGCTTACACCAGCACGGCATGCCATAATTGGAACGGTTTTGCACAGCCAATCGTGATGTACCATAGCCTTGCGCGGTATATCATAGCATCATGGCGCGGCATTGATTATGGTGGGCAAAAATAAAATTGCCTTCGGCCCATCCCGACACCTTGTCTGGGTTGTGGGTCAGGGTCCTCAGGTGCTCTCGGGGGCCTCTTGGGGACCGGGCCGAGGGCTCGAAATGTTTGTTCGGGTTCCTCGTCTAGGCCGTCTTTGGGGCGTGTTGGACCGTCTTGGGCGCCTCTTGCGCCGTTTTGATGCCCTCTTGAGCCGTTTGGGGGCCTTCTTGGAGGCCTCTTGGGCCATCTTCGGGCGATCTTGGGGGCCTTTTTGGAGGCCTCTTGGGGCATCTTGGGCCGTCTTGGAGTGTCGGGAAGCGGAAAAGCCGAGAATGCCCAAGGGCCCTCATGGGAAAGCTCTCGAAAGCCTCTTGGAACGTCTTGGGCGATTTTCTGGCCGACTGGAGACCATCTTTGGCGTCTTGGACCGATCGTGCAGCGATACTGGATGAACCGTCTTGGGGGCCTCTTGAGGCCCTCTTGGCCTGTTTTGAGGCCCTCTTGGGCCCGTCTTGGGGCCCGCAAGAAGACGCCCCAGTCCCGAGGGGCCACGCGACTGGCCCCATGGGCCACGCGGCAAACCCCAGAAGAATGGGTAATCTTGGGTCCGGCCCTTAAAGAGTCTTCATGGCTGAGGACCGAGGCTCCAAGGGATCTAACAAGGGACCTGAGGGCACTCGAACTCGTGTCTCAAGAGCACGGTGGCGGATGAGAACACATTTTTGTGTATAAGAAACGACACGCGTAGTCTACCAATCATTCACGCGTAGCGTATCCTCACCAGCACACCCAATCACACGCAAAGGGCACGTTGACCTGAACAGGGACGTGTAGCAGCATGCAGTCACGCTCTGGGAGCCTCTTGAAGGCATCTTGGGACCATGGTGGGGCTCTATTGGTGCCTTTTGGGGCCATCTTGAATGCTATAGGGGCTTTCTTGGAGCCATCTCGGGGCTCTCTTGGGCAATCTTGGAGGCCTTGGCGGGCATCTTGCGGGCCATCGGTGTAAAGCGGGAGGCCCTTAAACCGCGTCTCGGGGCCCCTTTGGGGCGCTATTGGGCGCTCTTGGAGCCGACACGGGGCTCTCTTGGGCCCCTCCTGGGGCTTTCTTTGGCAATCTTGGAGCCATCTAGGGGCTTCAGACGCCCATCGGAAGCGATCAGGCGACAATACACACAGCATGGAAAGTGCGCCAGTGGATCTCCCTGAATACACTAAAGGGTGGGGGGGTCCAGAACCCCCCCCCCCCCCCTTCCCTCCTTCAGGGGGGGGGGGGGGGCGGGTCCGGACCACCCCCCCTTCCCTTTTTAAGAGGGGGGAGGGGTCCCGACCCCTCCCCCCCCCCCTCCCTTGATGGGGGGGGGGTCCGGACCCCCCCCGCCCCCTCTCTCCCTTGGCGCTGGACAGGGGGGGGGGTTCGGACCCCCCTCCCACTCGTGTAGGGAGTACGGAGTTGGGAGTAGGGAGTGGTGGGTAGTGAGTAGTGAGCTATTGCGTAGTGAGTATTGGGTAGTGAGTAGTGATGAGTAGTGAGTATGAGTAGTGGGTAGTGAGTGGCGAGTAGGGAGTAGGGAGTACGGAGTGGGGAGTAGTGAGTAGTGAACAGTGAGTAATTAGTGTGTGTTGGTAAGTGAGTAGTGAGTGGCGAGTAGTGAGTTGTGAGTAGGGAGTAGCGAGTAGCGAGTAGTGAGCACTGAGTAGGGAGTAGGGAGTAATGAGTACTGGGTAGTGAGTAGTGGGTAGTAAAATATGGTTGGCGAGTAGTGATTAGTGAGTAGTGAGTTGTGGGTGGTGCGTAGTGCGTAGTGAGTGGTGAGTAGTGAGTAGTGAGTAGTGAGTAGTGAGTAGCGAGTAGTGACTAGTGAGTAGTGAGTAGTGAGTAGTGAGTACTGAGTACTGAGTTGCACGTAGTGCGTAGTGATGAGTAGTGAATAGGAAGTAGTGGGTGGTGGCAGTGGGTAGTGAGTAGCGAGTAGCGAGTAGTGAGTAGTGAGTAGTGAGTAGAGTGTAGTCAGTAGTGAGTAGTGGGTAGTGATTAGTGAGTGACGAGTAGGGGGTAGCGAGTAGTGAGTAGTGAGTAGCGAGTGCTGAGTAGGGAGTAGTGAGCAGTGAGTAGTAAGATGTGGGTAGCGAATCGTGGGTAGTGAGTTGCGATTGGTGAGTAGTGGGTAGTGACTAGTGACTAGTTACTAGCGACTAGTGAGTTGTGACTCGTGACTAGAGACTATGTAGTGACTAGTGAGTAGGGAGTAGTAAGTAGTGGGTAATGAATAGTGAGTAGCGGGGAGAAAGTAGTGAGTATTGAGTAGCGAGTACTGAGTACTGTGTAGTCAGTATTGTGTAGGGCGTAGGGAGTAGCGAGTAGCGAGTAGTGGGTAGTGAGTAGTGATTTGTGGGCAATGAGTAGTTAGTAGTGAGTAGTGAGTAGTGGATAGTGGGTAGTGGGTAATGAGTAGTGATTATTGAGTAGTGAATAGGGAGTAGTGAGTAGTGCTTAGTGAGTAGTGAGTATTGAGTAGGGGGTAGTGAGGAGTGAGTATTGAATAAGGAGGAGGGGGTAGTGAGTAGCGAGTAGTGGGTGGTGGGTAGTGAGTAGTGGATAGTGAGTAGTGAGTCGTGAGTAGCGAATAGCGAGTAGTGAGTAGGGGGTAGTGAGTAGGGGGCTGGGGTTAGTGGTAAGGGGGTAGGGGGCCCCTCGTGACTCCCTTTTGGGGCTGGGGTTAGTGGTTAGGGTTCGGATTCGGGGCTTGGGTCCGGGTGAGGACTAGGGGTAGGGGCGGCGGGGGTCGGGTTCCGGCGTCAGGGAGCGGCGCGGCGAAAGGGGAGGAGGGGGGGGTCGCCCCCCCCCCCCCCCCCCTCATTTGAAAGGGGAGAGGGGGGGAGGGGGGGGGGGCGACGACGGGTCGTGGAAAGGAGGGGGGGTGGGGGGGGGAGGTGAGGGGGTTCCCCGACGACGGATCGGGGAAGGGGGGGAGGGGGGGGTCCCCCGACGACGGATCGGGGAAGGGGGGGGAGGGGGGGGGTCTTAACCCCCCCCCCCTTGGGGAGATCCAGCGGCGCACCCTCCACAGCATGGGTGTCCGAAAGACTCTGGGGGGTGCGTTTGCCTACCTGGGGTGCCCCCAGAAGGTTCCGCGGCCCCGCATATGGCCTTTTGGAGGCATGTTGGAGGCTATCTTGTCCTATCTGGGCATGCCCGAGGCTATGCTGATCCGAAGCTGCCTCGAGGCCATGTTGGGCCATTTTGAAGGCTCCGACGCCTCGCGGCCCTTTCCGCTCCAGGCCCAGGGGGAGGGGTAATCCAGAAGCACTTATAATGAGGACGAATCAAAGTAGTCCCCTGGGGCTGCTGTGAAGAATTGCAGCGTTCAAAGCAGCCCCCTGGGACTGCTTTGAACGACGCGGATTTGCGGTTGGAAGAGCGCAGGGAGGAACAGGAGGAGGAGAAGGAGGGAGAGGAGGGAAAGGGGCGAGGAGAGGGCGGTTGCAAGGTGCGCCGATGGTTCCTCTCCGCCGCCACGCCGCGCACAGGGGGGAGGGGGGGGGGGTGGCATGGAGAGAGGAGGAGGAGTGGTCCGAGGAAGGACCGGCGAGGTTTGTCTCATCAGTTTCGGCCCCTGGAGGCCCAGCGGGACAACGCGACCGCAGTTGCGGCGATCGGCAGGAATTCGCTCAAAATCGAACGGATCGTTTTCGGTGTGTTGTCTCACAAGTTTCCTCCATCATTCCTCTCTCACTTCTCCTACTTCTCATACTCCCCCCTTCCTCTCCCCCTTCGCTTCTCAATTCCAACCCCCCCTCCTTCCTCTCCGGGCTCTGGGGCGCCCCCCCCCCCCCGCCGCGGGCAGCGGTCGCGGGGGGGCGCTCTGGTGGGGCGCGTTTCGACCATCTCCTCCTCTGGGCTCTGGGCACCCCCCCCGGGCGCGGGGAGCGGTCGCGAAGGGGGGGGGGGGGGGGGGGGGGGCGTTCTGGCGGGCCCCCTCCTTCTGAGCTTCGGGGCGCCCCCCCCCGCCGCGGGGCAGCGGTCGCGGGGGAGGGGGGAGGGGGGGGGGGTGCGCGCGCGCGCTCTAGCGGGGCGCGTTCTGACCGCCCCTCTCCCCGGGCCCCGGGGCGCGCGCGCGCCCCCCCCCCCCCCCCCTCCCCCCCGCGCCCTTCCGCTTCGAGGAAACCGCCGCGGAGGGGGCGCCCTGGAGAGGTGAGTTCTCGACTCCTCTTCGATACTCCCCATTGTCATTATTCTCCCTTCCGCCCCCGCCCCCCAGCGCCGTTCGGCTCGAGCCAGCGCCGACG